CACTGAGTGTGAACATTCTTAGATCATGTTCTACCTTAACTGCCCATTACAAGCAGGCACTGATAAAGGCTGTTTGATGATGATTATGACTGCAATGATTACACTAGAAATCAAAGGCGGCTTCTTGTAACTTTGGAACACGGCTCCTCTGGAAACGCTAACCTCCTCTCTCACAAGTCATCATCTCTCACAAATTGGTTTCAGCTGGACTCCCCTGAAAGCTTTCAGTTTGATGGTCAGGAGCCCTGGGTTCTAATCTTAGATTCACCAACAACTTCCGTGTGACTCTACATGCCTCAGTTTTGCAATTTTCTAGTGCAAGACAGAAAAAGCTCACAGGGCTCGCAGGTAGGAAAGAGAGGTTAAGTAAGAAAGGAGGTGTGGAGTGCTGTAAGAGTAGGCTGTAAGGATCCTGTCAGGAGTCTACACTTCCTTTCAGAGCCAGCCCTCTGAGACACGCTTTTTTCTCCCCACAAGCATAGTTCTTCTTCCAGAATCCTTAAGTTCCTGGTGTGAAGGAGAAAGAACCCTTGCACATTGTCTTCTGCAGAGATTCCTCCCGATGACTCCCTTCACCTCATCTTTGCTGCTTGCTTCTTCTTTACAAGCCTTCAAAGAGCTGCTTTCTAAGGCTGGGGCCTCGGATATAGTCTCATTCTGTTATTTCTACGAGAAAGACTTGAGGGAGGAGGTAAAATGCCTTGAGTGCCAAAGATAATTACTAGAGTGAGAAAGAAATGTGGTGAAGACTCAGAGTGTGAGCCCCAGAAGTTTCAGAAGACAGAAAAGAAATAGGCAAAATAAACTCCAGATGAATTAAAGACCTAAAGTTGTAAAACAAAACCTTCAAAATTATCTGAAAAAATACAGCATATCTCTATGATCTTGACAGAGTTTCTTAAATCAAATTATGAAAAAGCAGAAGTCATAATGAACAATTTTGATAAAATTGACTATAACAAACATTAAAAACTCCATAACAGACATTTTAAATGAGGTTAAAATACAAGTAAACAGATGGGGAAACAGGGAGAAGATATCTGCCACAAACATGCATATGAGAAAAAAATTGGTATCCAGCATCTGTAAAGGACTCCCTACAAACCAAAAATAATAATAAAGAAGATAAACCACCTAACAGAAAAATGGACAAAAGGTATAAATAGACAATTATCAGAAGAAGAAATTCAAATAACCAATAATACATACAAAAATCTACTCTAGTAATGCGGAAAATGCAAAATTAACTGACAATGAGATTCATTTCACATCTACTGTATACATATATACATAATTTAAAAATCTGACCATTTTATGTGTTGGCGAGGCTATGGAGAAACTCGGACTCTCATATCCTGTAAAACTGACACAGCTACTTTGGAGAGCAACTTGACAAAATGTACTCAAGTTGAAAATGCACATATCCTTTGATCCAGAAAGCCTACTGCCTTGGAGCAGTGTTTTTCAGTTCATTAGTGGGTCAGGAAGTCAATTTAGAGGGTCATGCCCAGCATTTTACAAAAATGAAATAGAATAGGAAATAGAGTGCATATAGCAAAAGTAGGTATTATTTTGTTAAACTTTTATTTCATATATGAACTGATGAATTATGAACATATATGAATTTCTTATTACGAGTTACGGTTTAAAAAAAAAACACTCTGAAAACACTGCTTAAGGGAAACTCTCATACATAAGAACAAGGAGACACATCCCAGGATGTTCCCTGCAAGGTAGTGTTTATAATAATGAAACACTGAAAGCAACGTAAATGTCTATCAGTAGCAAACAGATAAATTGGAGTGTATTCATGTGATGGAACACCACACAGCGGCTACAATTAATGAACTTGGTCTACATGGATGAATTTTGAAAACAAATTTGAGGGAAGCAAAACAGAAAACTAAATGCCACATGGAACCAATTATATGAATTTTAAAACATTAAAACATACCATATACTATTTGTTTATATATAAACTGTTATATATACATCTCCATATATATATATATTCAAATTATTAAAAGTGGACTGATAATAAAGGGGATACCTAAAGAAAGAAAAGGAAACGGGACTTGGGAGAAAATAGGTATGATTCTATTTATTCATTTTGGCTGGTGGATACATAGATGACACAGTACTTTTTATTCTTTTCCTTTTAAAACATTTTTAACACAGAAGAAAAAAGAAATGCAATTAAGAAGTTTTAATCTTGCTCAGAATTCTGAGAGAGCATCATAAAATTGTATTAACCATTGGTTATTAAAACTCTTTCATCCTGGGATTGTTTTATTCAGTGCCTTGGGAAGAGTAACCTGTGCCAAACCAGCCTGTGGAACTCAATGAATTAGTATCTAAAGATAGCAAATCCCTGCAGTTGTTATCTCTACTAGCAAAAAAAAAATTTATTTTTCCCTGAAGTTTCAGTCTCTCCTATCTGTGCACTCTTCCCAGAAAGACCTTCCTCCTAGTACTTGCCAGTCAGTCTCTAATCTATCCTTCACGAGCCAGTTCAAACCTGACTTCTCTTCATCTGGACACCCACCACCATCACCACCACCAGAATTTATCGATTTACTACTCCTTGTTTAAACTCTCACTGTACCTTGGACATTTCTCTGTTACAGCACCTATCACATGACAGCACAATTATTTTTGAATGTCAATCTTCTCTACTAAACCTCTGAGCTTTCTGAGGGAAAAGCCTACCTCTCATTTGCCTTTATTTTCCTGGAAGCTAACAGAATGGCTACAGAGCAGTTCCTCAAATGTTGCTGAAGGAATAGCAAATGCTGATGACAAGCTAAATGACAGATGACTTTGGGGCGCTCAAATCTTGTTCTCATTTATTGCACCACAAATCTGGGACCACTTAATCTTACTGCACCACAAATCCGGGTCATCATTTTGGGGCAGTTTGGCTGTTCCTCACTCTCTCTTGTCCACATCCTTATAATAACCTTATTGATATCCTTAACCTCCAGCCTCTTCCCACTGTAATCCATCCTGGATACAACTCTAGACTAATCTTTACAAAACATCACCTTCATCTTGTCATTCCCCCGGGGAAAATGCATTGATTCTCCAGAACCTTTCAAATCAAATCCAGATCTCTAATCTCCACATGTGAGGATCCTGACTCGCTTTAGTGTTCCAAACATATCCTTCAATCACTTTATAATGTAAACTATACTAGGGTTGGAATCTTTATCTGTAAGACAACTGGTTTACCCCAAGCAAGAAGAACAATGCGTGCCCTGGAGAAGATGCTCAATAATTGTGGAATTACTGAATAAATGAACTATTCCTAACATGTAACCATTTGTTTCAGCCAAGTTAGTTTTCTTCTTGTTCTCTACATGTGCCAAGTTTATATCAGCCCATCTTTGTGTCCCCTAATACCTAATAAAAAACACCTAATAGAATATATTGTACATTTTAACAAATGTGCCCAAATATAATATAAGGTAATGCCTTGTTTTCCCAAAAAGAAGAACTAAAAAAATAGTTTTTGGTCAACTTGATATATATAAAATGGTCAAATGTATATTTTAAATAGTTACTAATTTGTGACCGTTTGTCTAATATTATTTAGCATATTTAGCATAAACACATTTTAAATCATATATAAAATATTTACTTAGAGATAATGCTTTTCATTCAGATCTTATAACACAATTTTATTCAAATTATCAGTGCCTTCATCATCATTTAAGTCACTTCTATGGTCAACTCTCCAATTTGGAGATCATGTCATCCTCACACAAATCTAAATTGTTTGAGGACAGTTGTTTTTTTCTAATTCATGCTATGCTTGTATATTCCTGATCTCCACAATATAACCTCTTTCTGTTGCTTTTTAAAAGGCTTCTTAGCAACAACTTTTAACACTTGAAACTGTGAGTTCCTAAGTCCAGAACCATTTACTAAATCTGTTAATTTTTTTTGCCTCCTTTTTGTATTTTTAAGTGAGTCCATCCAGTGACCTCTATAAGCTTGCAAAACTGGCATCAACTGAGGTTATTTCAGGCTTCACCTTCCCCAAACAGTACTTGCATTCAAAACAAAATATCATATTTAGAAAAATCAGATTCCATGGACTACAATAGGAGACTTTATAAGAACACAAAATATAAGGCAACTTCCTTTCTGAGGAACTATTTTAAGAGGTAAAATATTATCTTATATTCAGGCATATGTTTACCCATTTAATAAATATTTAATGAATGCCTCTTGTGTGCCAGGCACTGTGAGAGGGACTAGAAATACAGTGAGCTTAGAATCCCATAGGGAGACGGTCATTACATGTATAATGCCACAACTAATTAATTATGACTTTAAGTAACAGGAGACCCTCAGTCTGTGGGCTTAAGAAAGAGTCTCCTATAACAGTGCTGTTTATATACACAGCAGCAGTAATTCACGTGCCAATACGTCTGGATTCAAATCCTGACTCATATCTTGAGTAGGTTACTTAACCTCACTTTCCTCATAAACTGGAGCAAACAACAGCATCTACCTCATGAATTTGTAGTGAGGATTAAATGATTCACTACTGGTAAAGCACTAAGAACAATGACGGCACACAGTACCTGCTGGATAAATGTTAGACATTATCATCATTTCAGCTGGAACCTGAAAGACAAGCTAGGAGGAAGGAGGGAAGAAATTCCAAGCAAAGAGCAACAGGTGCAAAAGCGCAGGGGCATTGGGGCCGGCTCCCTGGCTGAGTGGTTAAGTTCGCGCACTCTGCTGCGGTGTCCCAAGGTTCGGATCCTGGGCGCGGACATGGCACCGCTCATCAGGCCACGTTGAGGCGGCGTCCCACATCCCACAACTAGAAGGACCTGCAACTAAGACATACAACTATGTACCAGGGGGGTTTGGGAAATAAAGCAGAAAAAAAAAATATTGGCAACAGTTGTTAGCCCAGGTGCCAATCCTTAAAAAAAAAAAAGGAAGATTGGCAACAGTTGTTAGCCTAGGTGCCAATCTTTGGAAAAAAAAAAAGCCCAGGGGCATAAAGTTGCTTGGCCTATAATAGAACTGAAAGGCCAATGTTTCCTAGCATAGAGAGCCTTCTTTCCAGGACTGTTCTAGAATTTTACAGCTGAACGTTCTTGAGGAATGCATAGTAGTTGAGAGGACTTAGAAATTGCGTAAAGATGGAGATCATGTTTTAGTCAACTTTGATTGCACCCACCCCATTTACCTAACGCTCAGAGATCCACCCAGTTACAGAACTTTTCCTCTGACTGTGTGAGCGTACAACCTATAGGTACAGCCTAGGCTAATATAAAGCGTTATACAGATGTGGAGCTTTCACACCCATTTTCTCCTTGGATCTTCACAAACTCTTACAAAATAAGCACTATTACAGAGGGAATAAACTCAGAGCTAAAGTGACAAGTCCAGGGTCACATACACACTTAAGGAAACAGCAGTGCCGATGTTGGAACCAAATCCCCTGGTTCCAAACGGGATGCTCTTTCTACTGCCCTCCATGGAGGGTAACTGATGTACTCTACAGGACTGTTAACTCTTGGAGGCAGCTCAAGTGCTACTTCTGGGAATCCCTCCCGGTTTCAGGTATTAATTCATTAAAAATGTTCATTGAGCACCTACTATGAGCCAGGCATGGCACCTAGTGTTGGGGGCAGGGTACAGCAGCGAACAGGGCAAGAAGCTGCTTGCCTTCGGTCTGGTTCAGGAATCCGGCCCAACAAGGAGACGCATGTATAAACGATGGAAGCGGTACGCGCTATACGGAAAACACACAGGGCGATGGGAGAAAATGTGTGTCCTTTTGGTCAGAGAAGGCGTCACAGAAAAGTGACATTTAAGTTGAGACCGGAGCGTGGTCTTTCAGCAGGCGTTTAACGGAAGACACTGTCCCACAAACCTCGTTTGGGAAACGCCGACAACAGGAGAAAGCGGACTTAGTCCGCACAGGGGCCGCTCCCAGGCCTCCGATCTTCGCCGCCTTCACCGCGGCTGGCAAAGGACAGGGCCCGGCCCCGCCGCCAGCACCAGGGGGCGCCGCGGGTCCTCCCAGCCCGCAGGAGGCGCCGTGGCCCCGGGCACTGCCAAACCGACATCTGCCAGCCACCACGCCCCGGCCCGGAAGCCCAGGGTACGGAGAGGGGCAAGGGCGGCGCTGGGAAGCTCTGAGGCCCTGGGGAATCGAGGGTGTGGTCCTTAGACCCTCAAAGAGGAGACGTCCTCAGGCCCAAACACAGAACCGCGCACCCATACCCTCGCTCCCTCGGGGACAGCCCGTTTCCGGCGCCTTTAAACCACGAAGTACCGCCCGCACCCAATCCTGGTCCTTTCGCACTCGGTGTAAGCGTCGGCTCCCCGCCGGGGTAGCGCGAGGCCAGCGGTCTGCGGTTACCAATCAGCGCTCAGGAAACGGCGCATGCGTTGTCGGACGAATGCGTCTGAAGGCGAACGCTGACCCGAAGATGACCTCTTCTCCTCTCCCCCGCCCTCGCTGTGAAGATGGCGCTCTCCAGGGTGTGCTGGGCTCGGGCCGCTCTGTGGGGTTCGGCGGTCACCCCTGGACTTTATGTCACCCGGAAGCTGCAACTCGTTCGCTCTGGCCTGGCCTGGGGGGCCCCTGGGTGAGGGACCCGGAGAGAGAAAAGCATTTTTGGCGTTCAGGCCCTTCCAGTGTCTCAGCCTTATTTTTGCATGCTGTCTCTTAATTCTCAGGGGTCCACACCCTGGCCCCGGGATTTTTATTCTTCTGCTCAGAATTCGCGCTCCAATCCCCGCTAGTGACCTGGCTTCCTGACCCTTTCAATTCTCAGTGCCCCATATGGTCTGAATCCCCCGCGTGTCCTGAGCTCATCTGTCAGCCTCCCTTTTTCAGCTCAGGTTTTATCGCTACATACCTGGACGCCGCCTCTCTCTGGCCTTAGCCTGCCTCTCCAGTTGTCCCTCAGGCCTTGCGCTCTCTGCAGACTGTTATCACTCCTCGACGTCCCTTCCTGCCTGGCCTCTCGTCGGCCTGATCTGTTTTTCTCAGTCTGATTGCTTCTCTCTCCTTGATCCCAAGATCTTCCTTGGATTTCAGAAGTTTCAAGTCTTAGCGTGCATCTCCGAGGCTGAGTGTTCTACATTAGGGACCGACCCCAGGTGTGAAGGGGCTTCCAGGACTGATTCCCAGATAGTCTCTTTGATCTTCCTTTTAGGTCTTCAAAGCTTCACCTTTCTCCAAAGACAGATGTGAAGAACTTGATCTCTTATGTGGTAACCAAGACAAAAGTGATTAATGGGAAATACCATCGTTTCTTGGGTCGTCATTTCCCCCGCTTCTATGTCCTGTACACAATCTTCATGAAAGGTAAAAACAAAACTAAAATAGAAATCCCTTGAATCAGCTGTTGGGCAATGTCAGAGTTAGAAGAAGTAGGATCTTTTACAGATTATTCTATGGGGGTGTGAGCTGGAATTATTCTGTTTCATAAATACTTGAGCATTAAACTAAGTCTTATAAGTTAGCACTTCTTGAGGATGTTTCTAGAAAGATATTAGGAGAAACGACTTCTGACAACACCCAGAGGGAATATAGGTATTTTTACACTTTTCGTAAGCACTCATCCGACTATAGTAGAAATTCTTTGTCATGCACCAGGGCAGGGATCTATGGCTGCACAGATCTGCCCTGTGATTTATCAGTTGACTTGGCCCATAAGAAAATGTGATTTAATGCTTGTCATAAATCTATGCTAAGTAGCATGTTGTGGAAATAGCACTACATATACTTGGTTTGTGAATGTTTTGGTTCAAACAAGAGTTCTGCAAGTTACTAGGAGATGATGTAGTGTCAAATGTCCACTCTGGAGCCAGACTGCCTAGGTTCAAACCCCAGCTTGTCACCGGCTGTGTGATTGGACTAGTTACGTAGCCTCTCTGTCCCTTGGTTCTCTCATCTCTAAAATAGGGATAATAGTAGAACCTACCTATTGACCACATGGTTGTGAAGATTAAATAAATCAATACATGTAAAGTACTTAGGGCCTGGTTAAGAGTAGGTGTAGCTATAGCTATTATTTTACTGTATACTTTACCGTAACACCAGTTACAATAAACTACCACATCGTCAGCTCTGAATATTATCATAATTACTACTAGCTTTATGGACTTGCAAAATCTGTAAAGTGGAGATAAGAATGGCTGCTTTGTCTGCTTCCAGGTTTATAACCAGATCAAGTGAGAAAAGGATTTGGAAGCATTTTGGTTGGTTGGTTTTTAAGGCTTTTATTATGGAAAATTTTAAACATACACAAAAGTAGAGAGAATAATATAATGGATTTCCATTACTTAACCTCACTTCAACAGTTATCAACTCATGGCTGCCAATCTTATTGAATTTTTACACTCGCCTTCTGTATTATTATTATTATCATTATCATTATTATTCTTTTTGGTGAGGAAGATTGGCCCTGAGCTAACATCCACACCAATCTTCCTCTTTTTGCCTGAGGAAGATTGTTCCTGAGCTAACATCTGTGCCAATCTTCCTCTGTTTTATGTGGGATGCTGCCACAGCATTGCTTGATGAGCAGTGTGTAGGTCTGCACCTGGGATCCGAACCCATGAACCCCAGACTGCTGAAGCAGAGCACACAAACTTAACTACTACACCACTGGGCCAGCCCCTCTCCTGTATTATTTTGAAGCCAACCTAGACATTGTATCATTTTGTTCATAAATATGAAAGCATTTTTAAAGTCCTAGATAAATGTAAGAATTATTATAAAGAGAAAAGGCAATCGTAGATATATGTTGAATTACAGTAATTATAAAAGTGTTGTATAGAAAGGAGATAAGTTAATACCTGGTTGGAGAATATATAAGGTTTATTGAGCAAGACTTCGTGAAGTTAGGGAGCTTTGAATTTTTATTTTAGAAAGGGAGTGAGTAATGAACCAGAAGAGGGAGACCGTTCCGTAGTAGATCACAGAAGGCCAACATGGCTGGAAGAGAGATGATGTGCTGGGGGAGAACAGGATGAAAAGAAAAGATAATAAGTTGGCTTCACAAGAGTTTCAAGTGACCTAGTTTAAAGCTGTGATTTTGAGTAGTGTTGGGGAGGGACCAGTGTGTGTGTTGTGGGTGAACCTGGAGGAGGAGGCTGCGGTAAGATTCAACCTGGGATAACATCATACTCTGTGCTCTACTTTAATGAGGCAGGATTGCATATGTTATGGGCTGATGCCAAAAAGGCTAGAAGAATAAAGACAAATATGTGGAAGCACAATATAAAGTTTCATCAACTTTCATACCGGGAGATGGAGCATTTGAGACAGGTATGGGCCGGGGGCAGATATCCAGAAGTTCATGGTGAAGTAACTAAAGTTAACCAAGATCGCAAGTTTTTTTTCTTTCCTATCTTGTTCTCCACTGATCTCTTTGCCATGAGATCAAAGTATTGAACTAAGAACGTCAGATTATTTGTCAGAATGGGTTCATTCAGAGTGTAGCCCTCCAGAGCAGAGCTCCATGGAGTTTCTGGCACACTTACTGAATAAAAGTTGTAAATACTAAAATCCGTTCATTTCTGAACATATGAAAATCTGCAAGGATCCAAAAGGCAGCAAGAAAGTAGTATTTGGTGGTGACTTGATGGGTAGTTTTGAAGCTGAGAGTAAGAATTTAGGACCCATTCTCTAGATCCAGAGGAATTCACTGAGGGATTTGGTGTGATGTCAGGCCCTGTACTAGACTTTAGTTGGGATACAAAAGTGAGCAAATCAGGGCTTCTGTCCTCAAAGAACTTACCAATGAGGTAGATAGAAATAACCTTGATCCTTTTCTGGGCCATGATGGAAGTTTACTGCACAGTGGCGGGGAGGGATTGTCCATTGTATTAAGAACTTACTTGTATTAAAACTGCATCTGTGTTTATTTCTGCTTAGTTCCGTCGAGATGTCACCAAGTGTCTTTTCCTAGGTATTATTTCCATTCCACCTTTTGCCAACTACCTGGTCTTCTTGCTAATGTGAGTACAGACTTCTGTGTCCCCAGCATATTGAAGACATGTAGATTTTTAAAAATTACAAATTATTTTAAGAAGAACCTTGTATTTTAGAAGTGAGGCAGAGGTTATCAAACTTTCTGCTCCAGTTAGCCCAAGGTTCATGAAAGCCGCTCAGTAACCCCTGAGTTACTGGGACAGCTGTAGGTGCAGGTGGCCTAGACTCTGCCTGTCTCTTAGGTGCCCCTGTGTGATGTGCAATAAGATAGTGACCTTTTCCATCATCCTGAGAGGCAGCAACCCACTCCCTGTGAGGCCTACCAATTTGGGACAAATTTTTGCTTCAGGAGAGAAATGCATTTCATATTCTGATAACAAAAATCTTTATTGCTTTACTTTATATCTAAACGTGACACTTGTAAGCTGTGACCTTGCCTATTGTTCTAGTTACCTATTGCCGTGTAGCAGTCAACCTCAAAGCTTAACAGCTTAAAACAACCACCATTTTCCTGATTTTCTGGGTCAGGAATTTGGGGAGGGCGTAGGTGAGTGATTGGTTTTTCTCTTCCGTGTTGTGTTGAAAGTGCTATTTAGCAGGTAAATGGACTAGTCTGGATGGTCTAAGGCACTCTTATGTCTGGTGCCTTAGCAGGGATGGCTGGAAGACTGAACTGTCAACCAGAGTGCCTACACGTGACCTCTTTAATGTGGTGGCCTCAGGGTAGTGGGACTTCTTACATGGCAGCTCAGGGCTCCAAGAGGGAGCGTTCCAACAAATAGGAATCTGCACAGCATTTTATAACCTAGCCTTGGAGGTCACAAGACTCATTCTGCTCTATTCTGTTGGTTGAATCAGTCACCCAGATTTAAAAAGCAGGGGAACATAGACCTCACTTCTCAATAGGAAGAGTGCCAGAGAATTTGTGGCCATGGTTTTACACCACCACACATGTAGAGAAATGAATTAAAAGGCAAATTTGCCTCTTCTATTTTGCACACACATGAAGCCTGTGCTACAGTTTGAGGTTCTCAGCATCACACACAGTGTCCAGCTCCGTCTGCAGTTCTCCAGCTCTGTCCCAAATATGCTGTTCACATCCATGAGTTCAGGAGTCATTGTATCAGAATGCTGCGTGCAAGGCTGTTCCACTGCTTCTGCTTTTCACAGGACCTCAGTAATGTTTCTTGAAATTGTGCTTCAGTGTATTTTTAAACCTTGGTCTGCGACTCATTCACAAAAAAAGAACAGTGAGGTAAGGAAGTAGGGCCCCCATCTCTTCTTCCTAGTTAGTATTCGCGTCTGCCAAATGCTTTCTTCTTAGCTCACTTTGAAAGATGCCACTTTCAGCAAGTGACTTTGTAATTCCCTTTCCTTCTAGGTACCTGTTTCCTAGGCAACTTCTGATCCGACATTTCTGGACCCCAAAGCAACAAATTGATTTCTTAGATATCTATCATGCTCTCCGGAAGCAGTCCCACCCAGAAATTCTTTGTTGTTTAGAAAGGGTTATCCCCCTCATTTCTGATGCAGGACTCCGGTGGCATATGGCAGAGCTGTGCACCAAGGTATTCCTCCAATTAACCCTTCCTGCAAACTAGGAATCTTGTTAGATCCAGTTTGCACTAAAACTAGCTAAGAGGGCTAGTCAGGACCTTCCTAACATCTACCAATCTCTTACCTCTCCCAAGATACAGCATGGCACCCACCCAGCAGTACATGATATCCTGGCTCTGAGAAACTGTTTCTCTAACTATCCTCTGGGCATGAACCAACTCCATGCTTTGCAAATGGTGAGCACTTTGAGGCTTTCTCTTTTCCGCAGCCTCTCCTTGCTTCGCTGTTTGCTTATGGTAATTCTTTGATGGCTTTCTCCTCCTGTGTTGTTGTGTCACAGAAAGCCTTGAGTCGAGCCATGCTTCTCACACCGTATCTGCCTCCTCTCTTGTTGAGACACCGTTTAAAGACTCATACCACTGTGATTCACCACCTGGACAAGGCTCTGGCAAAGCTGGGGATTGGCCAGCTGACTGCTCAGGAAGTGAAATCGGTAAGAGCTTGATTGCAGTGTCACCCTCCATCCTTGGTGGGCTTCTGAGCTTAGAGAGAGCTCCTTGTCTTGCTTGTTACAGCGAAGCCAAAGTTTTTTATTCTCTCATCTCATTTCTATGTCTTTTCTTCTCAGTGAACTTAACTCATGGGAAGAAATTGCCCATAGTAATTTTGGTTTATGTTTCTTCTGGCCCTTCAAAAACCATTGTTTTAGATTATATAGGCCTTTTTGCTAATCTTGTCTATCATAGTTCAGATTGCCATGTTGAAAGGGTTCTTGTGGGGATGAGGTTGTAATTTATTTGAAGGAGATTTTGGAATATTTGTTGATTTACACTTCCTTGGCATACTCGCTCTGTGATAATTAAGGACCGTTTCTCTTCTGAGTGATACAGGCTTGTTATCTTCGTGGCCTGAATTCTACCCATGTTGCTGAAGACAGGTGTCGAACTTGGCTGGGAGAATGGCTGCAGATTTCCTGCAGCCTGAAAGGTAAGACAAATCCCTATGCTTATGCCACTAAAATCCAAGTCATTTTTCTGTTTTATTCTAAGATTATTTTGGAGTCAATTATTAAGCACTGTAAGACCCTTATCTAGCATAAATGTCTAATTGAAAGGGCACAACCTCACTAGCCTACCGGAACTAGGCAGGTAGTAAAGCAGACTCAGCAAGACAAGAGGGAGTAGTGGGGCTTGTGGGAGCATGAGAGTGAGAACATGCTAGTCTGAAGCAGAGTTTCTCAATCTCAGCACTAGTGATGCTAGTTGTGGGGGCTATCCTGTGTCTCATAGGATGTTTAGTGATATCCCTGGCCTCTATCCACTACATGCAGTCACACCCCCTTTCCTCAGTTCTGACGACCAAAAATGTCTCCAGACATTTCCAAATGTCCTGTGGAGGGGGAAAGCAGAATTGTTCCAGGAGAGCAGCACTAGACTAAAGGCCTTCCAATTCAAAACAAAATCACTCAATTGGCTAAACAGAGAGTTTCTGAGGGTGGGTTTGGCCTGTGAGGCTCCTGTTTGGAACCTTTGGCTGGGCCGTGATGCTTTCTAAGCCTGTGAATAGCAGGGTAGGCCTACTCTCCTTGGAGCTGAGAAATGTCCCCAGAGCACTAGTTTCTACCAGAAGAATCCCAAGGGTGACAGTGGTGTTTAGTACCATTACCATCTCTGAATTTTCTACTGCCATTACATGAAGAAATCAAGAAATGAGGATGAGTAGATATGAATATAGGGTGGAAGGAAAGGAAAGCATACTCATGGGGACTGGAATGAAGCAGGGGAACTTTGAGAACAATAGTCTGTTAATGTCACACCTCTCTGCACTTGGCTTCCCGCCTGTAGTCTCAAGGCCTGTACACCAAGGTGCTTAGAAGGGAAACTGTTCCCTGGCCAAACCATTAACATTGATGGTGTTTTCAGAAGCTGAGCTGTCCCTTTTGCTACACAACGTGGTCCTGCTTTCCACCAACTACATTGGGACAAGGCGCTGAGTGGACATGGAGCGGATGGCATTGTCCTGCAGTCACGTAGTACAGCAGCGTGGGACCAAACAGCACTTGTCAGCAGAGTGTGTGCACTGTTAGGTGTGTGGGAGGCAGAGAAGCAGGTGCCTCAGGCTTCACACTGGTACCCACGTGGGAGCCAGAACTGAAACAAACCCTGTTCCCAGGGGCGGCCCATGTGAAGTGTCACCCCAGCTTCCTCAGAATTATCTGGAGCTGGCAGCAGCCTCTGTACCGAGCACTTACTGTGATGTTTTAAGTTCAGATGCCTGTAAGTGAGCTTTTGCCCCAGGTGGGAATCCTCATTTGGCCTAGGACTTATCCATGGCCATATTCTACCCAGCTGTGTTTTTGTTAAAGACAGTTTCTGGCTTGTAAGGAGAACAGCACTAGTTAAACTGGAGCTTTTGCATCCATGTGAGTGTTTTGATGCTCCCCTCAATCCTTTCTGATATGACCAAAAATAGGGGGTTTTTTTTTTGTCTTCCTCACTGAGCTAACCACTCTCTTTCCTTTTCAAATCCTTTGAACACCTTAACTTTAAATTTTTTTTTTTTTGCTGAGAGGATTCACTCTGAGCTAACATCTGTGCCAGTCTTCCTCTATTTTGTATGTGGGTCACTGCCACAGCATGGCTGACAAGTGGTGTAGTCTACACCCGGGATCCGAACCCACAAACCTGGGCTGCTGAAGCGGAGCTTGCTGAACTTAATCACTATGCCATGGGGCCAGCCCCTTAACTTTTTTTTTTAGTGAATAACTTATGGGAACATTCTCATGGAAAAGATAAAAGGAAATACAAGTGCTTCTTGACCCCTTCCCCAGCGTTTACAGGCTTCGCTCTCCTTGTCTTAATTTCTGGGCTGTGCTACAGCCCCAGTGGATCTTAAACTCTTTGCTACCTCCACTGTGTTGCAGCAATCCAGCTGTAACTGACAGTGGCTGCCTTCTTTGGGCCATGGATCAAACCTGTAAGGTACTAATTACTGCCCAGCCCAGGAGACCAGGAGAGGTCTGCGTCAAGATAGTAAGTTGGGTTTAGCTTTTGTCTGTGTACATCAGTGACCTGTAGTAACTTATTGTAAATGCATGAAGCACTGTTTTTGAACCCAAGTAAAGACTGCCTGAAACCAGTTGCTGGAAATTACTTATGCATACTCTAATCATTTTGCTAAGTCTCCTGTTATAAGATTGACATAACCTAACTAATGGGGAGATTAATTGGTTAGAATAGCACCTTCTGATGGGATGGAAGTTATGAAGGAACTGATTTGAAGTTGATCCTCTTGCTGGATTTTAAGATGGTAGCTAGGAATAGAGAATTTCACACATATATAAAGTAATGGAATTAGAAAATGGGCCCCAAGAGTAGGGACTACAGAAAGGGAAAGTTCCAACAGGGCAGGGTCAAGGCCTGCCTCAGCCGAAGAGGTGCACAAGGGCAAATAGTACACATCAAGCTCTTGAGGCTCCAAAGAGAATGTTCTATTTTCCCACCATAAAACATTGCTGTTGTTAACATTAATCTCTAACTGGCCTAATTAGTTTTATATATAATGCTGGAGAAGCATCCTTTCTCTAACAAGTAACTGAACTGTGGCCTGCCAAGATAAAGAATAACACACCATTCTTTTGAATATTTCTTTAATATTACATTTAAATATTCTCTTTAAATACAGCATTATCACAATGTAAAAGACCTAAAAGGCAAAAAAAAAAAAAAATTATTTTCAGAGAACCAGACAAGCTTTGGATTCACATTGAAAATACTACCTGTGTACAGTATGTGAGAAAGGAAATTGGAAAATAGTAAGAGTTGCAATGAGTCATTTCTTTCATCTAGGCCTAGACTGAGTGGGATTGAAGCTCTCTGCTTCTGTGGTCAGAGGCCTCGCTTTTCTAGCAACTGTGAGCTGTAGTTCTGTCCAACTCAGGTAGCACCAGAAACGAGATGGACTAGGTGGTAAAGAAGGCCTTTTGCTTGACAAGACAGTTAATGCTAAATGTTAATATTTAGCATTTAAAAGCTTGGGATCAGTGTGAGTCAGAATCGTAGAAGGGATGGACTTAGATTAGGAAACTAGTTTTTCAGAAAAATCAAATATCTTGGGGGTGGCAATGAGTTTGATAATTAGATTCAAATTCTTGGTTTGATCCCAGAGGCTAATGTGTCTCTTATTGAGCAGCTGGAACCCACTTCCTAGATTAGGCTGGAGCCTTCCTAAGGAGGGAATGTATAGAGCTCACTGCCCCTTCCAAAACAAACTTTCAGAAAGACTCTTCTCCAGAGTCAAATCCCCAGTAAAGCCTCAGTCTTGTATTTGAGGGGACCCATCTAAGGCGGGAGGGTGTAGCTCAGTCTGGGATAGCATCTAGATCTCAGGTACTTAAGACTCTCAACTCTGTTTTTTGAGGCTAGAGGATGGGGAGCGATAAGGACCTATGTACTTAATTAAGAACTCCCCCACAAAAGTAAAACCAAGCAAAAACAGGAACGAACAGGAGAGGCAGAATGGGTTAAAAGATGTACCTGTGTTAAGTACAAGGCCTTTCAGGCTCAGTTTAGGGATTTTATAGGTGAAATGCTGCTGCGACATACAAAAAGGTTGTTTTAAGATACCAGGGCCTTAATATCCCACCAGAAAAGGCTTTATGAGCAAGATAAGTAGGAACAGTTATCTCCCCCTCCAAAAAAGAAGTTTTTCTCTTTGTTCTTTCCCAGTTAGTAAACCATACCAGAAGTGAAGCATGGTACAAAGGATGCTAAAGAAGAGTGTTTTTCTCCTGATACTGCCTCCAATTGAAAACAGAGGCAAATAACTTTGCTAATAAAAAGAATTCAGTGTTCAATGGAGCACATCCTGGAACATAAGCTGGACATAAGAGGAACAGAAATCCCCCCTGATGGAGTGGCTATCCCACTCTGTAGACCTCAAAGGTTATAAGCAGAACTTGAATTCTTTGGAACCTGGGAGTTGTAGCAGCATTTCAGAATTGGTTTGGCTTCCGATTTTTATATATCAAGATGGAGGGTCCAATAAACACCTGCAGTTCTTGGGGGTGAACTGGAATAGTATAAGGACTCTCTAACCCTGTACATCCACAAAGGACCACGAGGGTAGATACAGAAAAAAAGAACAAAAACTAGTTGGTGACATTGAATTGCCACATCCTACTTTCCTTTAAAGCTCAAATCTCCCAAAGGGGGGGAAGAAAAACCTGGGTGAAAAAGCAAGCATGGCACAGATAAAGTCATCTTCTTTCCAGACAGCAGCCCATTCCTGCTGCCTCCTTTGGACACAGTTAATGCTCCACACATGCCTCCTGTGGATGTGTGAGCCCCAGCCTGACGCTGCCTGACACACACACAAGACTCAGGCTCTTGGTACCACACCCCCGGCCAATCTAGCTCTTTTTCTTCAAAGGAAAAAGGATGGAGGGGGAAAAGACAAATAGGCAAGTTTAACTCTAGTACCTAAGAAGATGAGAAAGAAACAATTCAAGTTACAGACCAGGAATCCCCAGTGTGGGGAACAGGTCAGAGAACACCAAAAACATGTCAAATATTAACTTATTTACCAAATAGGGGGCCAGGGAAGGCAGGTTAAATTTTGATAAATCCTCGAGGTTTTGTAATGAAGCAGAGACCCTTCTACCCCTTCCTCTAGGTTCGACCAGGTGACATTTCCAACTGTATTACTATGATCCACCAAAATAGGGTATCAGAACAACCACGGAGAAAAATGAGCCTGTTCCCCGCCTGGAGCGCAGGGAGAGAAGGGCCTTTGCCATGCTGTTCAAATTACTGTGTTCTGGTCCCTATATAAATAGCTGCTTGAATTACCCAGCTTCTCCTGTGAGATCCTAGTTCTTTGTTCCAATGGCCCAGAAAGCTCAGGGCAGCCTCCTGTGCCCCAGGACGCCGGAGCTGGTCTCCTTGGTTCTGTTTACCCTTTAAAAAATACTTGTACAAACAATCCTTTCCCACCCTTTCCCCAAAGACCCCAATAAAATAACATGGGAGCAGCAGCTGCTTCTACAGTTTTGTTTTGAAATGTGTTAGATAAAATAAGGGAATAAATAGAGACTGGGTAAGAGGCAGAACCTCCATCCCCGGGTCACACCGCCAAAGGGAGTTCCAGGGAAGGGTCCTCAGGGCGCTGGTCCTCACTCTGCGGTGAGGTCTTCTCCACCACACAGCCCTCTGCATTGTCCGTGCGGAAGGGGAGGTTTGAGGGGGACCAAGAGGGGCGGAAGTCTTCGTTCTCAGGCTCCTCAGGGTGACAATCTTCGGGCACTAGTGCTTCTAGGGTGGATGTTTTCCCCACCTCTGATTTACAGAGGGCACTTGGGTTTGTGGGGCTACAAGCCACCAGTGAGGTAACGGGGAGAGAGAAGACATTGAGGTCCTTCTCCTTAGGGAAAGAGGGCGGGACTTCTTCTGTACTAGGCTCTCCTTTCACCCCCAGGACTGGCCTCTGCTCCACCTGATAATAGACCAGAGGCCCACTGTTCAAGTAGGATGGGTTGTTCACTGCTGAGGCAGTTGGATGGTCCGAGTTCTCGGCAAAACATAGGACGGAGGAGCCTGGGGGCAGCTGAGCCTGGATGAGAATGGGGGCCGTCAGGCCTGGGCACAGCTCTTCAGGAACAGCCAGGGGCTCCTCCAGGATGCACACACCCAGGCTCTCAATGCTAGAGTCCAGGCTGGCGCTAGAGCCGCTGGAGTCTTCCTCCGCCTTGAGCCGCTCCAGTTCCTCTGCACTCTGCAGGTGCATCACTGCTGTCTCGTTCTCAGCAATGAACTCCTGGAAGTCCTGTGTCTCAGAGCCCTGAGCTCCTGTCAGGCTGCAACTGGCAGCGGGAGAGGGCTCCTCGTCTGGTGCTGGCGGGCGGCTCACCTGCCGCTTGCTCTCTAGCTCCAGCTTCATGATGGTGTGGAGGTAATGAGTCCGGACTCGGATTGGATTAAATTCAATGCGTCCAGCCATGTTCCCACAGCCATCACGGGAACAGCCACATGGAAAGGACATGCGATCCACCTGAGGAGGGGACAAGGAGGTTGAGGCAAGATGAGACCAACAGACTGAACAATGGAGAGAAGAGACTGGCTGGCAAACACAGGCAGCTGGGATTTGAGGTATTCTTATAAGAAGAGAAACAACCGATTCAAAACTTGCAGCGTGAGCTCACAGAGCACTAGAAGGTAGTTATCACACCACTTGTGTTTTGATTCCAACACAGCCGATAATTAGTAGTGTGACCTCAAGAAAGTCATTTATCTCTCTAGGGCTTTGGTTTCCTTTTCTAAACAAAAAGTAGACAAAAATATGTCAAAGGGCCCTTGTAGTTAAAAAGTCCAGAGATGGCTCTCTGAATGCTGACGGTTCTGAGCAGAAGAAATTAATGTGCCTCAGAGATTTTTCCGGAACTTACTTGGTTTATTGAGAAAACAAGAGGCTGGGGCCCAAGCCTACTGCCTTCTGCAGTGACAGGCATGGGAGTGGAAGCAGAAGATCTAGGCAGTCCAAAGCAGTACATTCTAGGGAAACTAAGCAAGAGTATCTTAGTTTGCTAAGGTGCTATAATGAAGGTTCAAATAAAAGAATGGCCAGCTTTTCGCTACCTGCTTCATTTTCCACTGATGACTGACCAGTTTGGTTCTGAAGCAGTTACCAAGATAATTAACTTACAGACCAGGGATATCTGGAAAGAAGATGCTTTCTACCTCTTTATCTCCCTTTTGGATCCCAAAAAGGAAAAAAAAACCCACATACCAAAAATAAAAAATTAAAAACACAAGAAAGCTAGTAAGTATGTACAAATACACAATGTCTTCCTACGGTATCAACATAAAGAACTCCCCAATCCAGGTCTTAGGGATAGTCCAGGTCTTAGGACTGGTCTCAAGTGTGTGTGCAACAGACTGATTCATTATGGGACTTCAGTCTGAAAAGCAGTATTTGGCCAGATCTGCTACAGCTATTTGATACCTACCTAAAAATAAGAAAGAAAAAGTTGGTTAGGAGAAGTTCAACCACAAGGACTCAGCATCCACATCCTCAATATACAGGTTCCAGATAAATGTTTGTTTGGGAGACTACTGCTGTTTTTAGTTGAGCTGTGTCTTCCAAACTGTCCCTTGTCAGAAGGCCAGCTAGGGGATGATGCTTTCTACCTTTTAGGACACTATGGATTTAGGCTCTGCCAGTCCAAGTCTGATCCTGAATTAGAGGATCCCAGAACTATGTTAATTTTTACAAAACTGGAGTGGAGGTACTGTGAAGTACGTGTTTGCAAGATAAAATCTAAAGGCCTACCTCGTTTCTCTGCTTCCTTTACCTCAAGAAATCAGTCACTATTCAGGGAACAGCTACTAAATGTTAAACTTACTAACCCCTGTTCCTCCATCTGCTGACAGCTGCTGCTTATCACTTCTGAGGTGTAAAAGAGAAAAGATCATCAGTATCTCCACAGCCTAAGAATCCTGTCATGCTCGTTTTCTTTGCTGGTGGAGGAGGGCTGTGGAAATGGGGAGTGTTTATAGTCACAGGCAATCCACCCGTGGATGGGCAGCCTCCAGGTTCACTGGCACCCAGACCACATCCCCCTGACTCTGGTGTAGATACACCATCTCAGGCCAAGTTGGACTGACCTGGCATTTAATCCCAGCTTGGCTACAGGCACACGCTTCTGGGTCACAATATAGTCGACAGTCACAACCACACTCTTCCCGAGAGAGGCGGATGGCTCGAAGTTCTTGCTTCTCCTCAGCATCGATGCGGTGGACCCCTGACGCCCTCAGCAGGGCCCGGCGCCGCTTAGTGGGCAGAGGCTGCAGGAAGAAGTAATCATCCACCTCCACATTTTCCACATCAATGTCTTCATCTGAAACATCGTCCAGTGTCAGGCCATCGGCCTCCACCGACTCCACTGTCCCATTCTTGGTCAGCTGCCAAGAGACAGGAAAGAAAGCTTAGCTTCTAGAGCATTGTCAGCACGCGCCTCCTCACAGTGCGCACCTAGAGCAGCACTGTCCCACCGGACCATCTGCAGTAAGGGAAATGTCCGTGCTAATGTAGTAACCACTAGCACGTGTGGCTACTGAGCACTGTAAATGTGGCTAGAGCAACCGAGAAACTGAATTTTTAATTTTATTTAATTTTAATTAAGTATAAAGAGCCACATATGGCTAGAGGCTACCACACTGGATAGTGTAGGTCAAGAGAATCTAGAGTAGAAAGACAAGATTTATGCAGCTCTAACACAAGGGACATCACCTTTCTAGATCAAAGTTTCTCAAAACCTCTGTCTCATCTTCTCTCCTAGAGGATAATCCATTCCAACAAATATACCCTCCACTCCCAGCCTTGTGTCCCTTAACTTCAGCTGACATGCCTTCAAACACAGGGAGGAAGGGGTAAGTCAATGGCTGGACGTTCCTTGGCTGTATAGATAACCTTGCAAAACACCATTCCATTTGTACCCAAAGGACCCAAAACCACCTTCTGGGAAGAAGAGTACATGAAAGTGTAGTACAAGGCTCCCAGGTCTTTGTCAATGAGCTGGAATCCCTACGGTGTGAATGATTACCTGGGCTTCGTTTTCTTGGGAGAACAAATAGGAGCAAATTATTAATGGCTATCAAAGAAAGCCCTTGCTTCCAACCCACGGCCAGTAGAAATGTATTCTTTCTCCTTCCCAATCCTTTTTTGACTTGAAAGCAAAGTCATATGTGAGGTAAGGTGCATTATATGATACTGAGTGTAATATCTACAGGCGGAAATCTGGGGTCTCTGGGCCAAGAGGGATAAAGAGCCAAGGAAGGGACTCTTAGTGGGAGGACAGGCTAAAGACAATCTGTGGCTGAATGAGTTTGGAAAACTCACTAGAGAATCCAAGTAAAGAAAACGAGGCCTCATAAGCCCCAGGGCTCTGGAAGCTACCAGCAGGATGAAAGCCAGGCTAGTGGAGGGTTTGGCTTATTTCATCAGCCAGCCCGAGTAATGCTGGTAAAGGAACAACTCCTGGGAGAGAGGTGATGCAATCGGCCTGGGTTCTAAGCTACACACCTGTTTTTTTGTTTGTTCGTTCTGGGGAAGGTGGTAGAGAAATGAGGAGACAAATAAAGTGGTGCTTCTGGGGTTCTCTCGTCTATTATTTCTGTTCCCAGCAGGCCAACTACAAGGGGCCTTTCCACAGACTCTGGGATTGCTCCTGTCTCTTTTATCAGGGTTGGCCTCCTAATCATCATTCCTCCTGCTGTCCTCTCAAAGGAGAGAGATTAGAGATGCAATAGAAAGAAACCCATGGAGCCATGAGGATTTAATGTCTTAGGATAGAGCTGGCATTTCAAGTGAGAAAAAGAATCTCCTAATCACTAAATGGTACTGGGACAACTGGATATTCTTTTGAAAAAAGTTATTAGATTCCCAATTCATACTCTTCATAATAATAAGTTCCATATATATAAAAGCCAAAAAAATTTAAAAAGTAATGTAAGTATTAGAAAAATTATAGGTAACTAAAGCTGCAGAGCACCAGCAGCTTTTTTCCCTTTTTTGGTGGCAGCCCAAAAGGAAAACAAATATTAGATGACATACAGGAGATGCCAAATTTTGATTTTGGAGACCAACTGCCTCCCCTATAGAATGCGGAAGACAAGAAAAATTTCTAAGAGTACACTGGACCTGGGAAGGGCAGAGGAAGGCGTTTCTCTTGACCTAGAAAGATTATTAGATGCCACGATTGCGGCTGCTCACCCAAACTGCTAGGAAGTAGGAATCCGCTATCTCAGCCTTGAGTTTGCCTGGCTTTGTCCCCACACCTCCTATATGGGAGGCCGTGGACCAGGATGGTATCCTGTTTTGACAGGCCACTCCTCTACCAGATTTAGGAGAGAGGTTTCTCCTAGGGAAAGAGAAGAAGGCCTTCACTGCAAATGATGAGAATGAGTGTTTATTTGCCCAGCTGTTGCTATAGCAGCAGGAAGGTGATAGGATCAGTGATGGAATTCCTCAGACAGAAGGGAAGCCCGAATGTCATTCTAGTTAGAAAAACAGGTGTAAGGCTTTTGGAGGCGGCTGAGGGAAGTAGACATAGCTCTCAAAGGGAGAAAGGAATGAGATCTAATTAGCCTGCATCCTCGGCCACCAGTTTTCCAACCCTACCGCATTCTGCTGTGTCTCATCAGGATTTCACCCACAACCCTGGAAATCACGCAGCCACCTGTTTTAATATGGGTCAGCTCCGGGCCCACAAGGAACTTGGCCAGGCCTACAGCAGCCTTTTCCAAATCTGGAACTAGGAATTCGGGGGGAAATTTTTGCGGACTGGTGGAAACTATGGCTATGGAGTGCCAAGCAGTGCTAAGCAGAGCAAATGGGTAGCTTATTATAAAGAGCCATCTGAGATGGGTCTTCCAGCCCTGCTCCCCTCCTACACTTGAAGAGCTGATGAGGCATCAGATGGAGGGCAGCCACAGTTATACAATCAAAACAACTATTTGGGAATGCTGTTGTTTACACACAAAAGACTATCACCTAGAGGCAATGGGGGTTATAGAAACAGCAGGATCCTTTCAGAAAATGTAAAAAATCCAAAACCTGTTCTGTGCATCAGGGCAATGGACAGTCTTTTGACAAAAAAACAAACACTGTGCCTCCTCAGATTCAAGGGGTGGCAGACTTGACTGTCTTAAGGAATTCACATTTTAAACTTTTTTTTTTTGGTGAGGAAGATTGGCCCTGAGCTAACGTCTGTGCTATTCTTCCTCTATTTTGTATGTGGGATGCCACCACAGTGTGGCTTGATGAGTGGTGTGTAGGTCCGCACCCAGGATCCAAACCCATGAACCCAGGGCTGCTGAAGCAGAGTGCACGAGTTTAATCACTCTGCCACAGGGCCAGCCCTACACATTTTAAACTTCAAAAAACTTTGGGTTTTTTAGGGGGCAAAGGTAGGGAATTCTAGGGAAGCCATTCTGCTATCTCTGGTAGACTCCCCACCAGAGACAAAAGAATGGTGTCTCAGACTGAGATTTGATTCCATTTCTGAGACTTTTCACAGAAAGATTTGGAATCTCGACATGCCAAGGGCAACAATCAAAAAAAAAAAAAAATCAGTAGACCTAGATGGTTCCCATTTCATCTTGGCACATGTGAAGCCCCAGACCCCGACCCCTCAGGCACCTTCATCTTCTTGGCATGGAGTTTCTCCTCCTTCAGGTGCTCCCGAAGAATCTCCCGATGATTCACCTCCTGCTCCTGAGCAAACTCACAGAGCGTATAGCTGCGCACAGAGTTGTGGCGCTGGGCCATGCCCAGAGAGCTGCCACCCTGGCTGGGCACACTGGTGAAACCCTGGCGCCGGGCAAAGTAGTATACGGTCACCTGGTCAAAGCGTACATTCTTCCTCCGCAGCTGCTTCTGCCGCTTCAGGATGGAGGTGGCTGAGAAGGGAGCACAGAGCAGTTTTACTAACCCCGAGGTGGCCTGTGTGGAGAACCAGTTCTTGCTCATCCATCTCGGCTCTCAATTCTTCTGCAAAGGTGCTCCCTGTACCTAGGGACCTTTCTAATTTTCAAATCATAAACGCACAGTTGGAAGGGACCTTGAACATCAGCTGGTCCACACCACTGCCTCCAGACTGACTCTACCCAAACAGATGACCAGAAAATCTATTTTTAGACATCAGCTGGGAAGAGGATCTCTAGGTAATCTTTTCAGGATGTAACAATCTATACAGCTTCACTGTCCAATACAGCAGCTACTAGCCACATGTGGCAATTTAAATTTAAGTTAATTAAAATGAAATAAAATTTAAGACTCAGCTCATCAGTTACACTAATCACGTTTCAAGTGCTCAATAGCCACGTACAGCTAATGGCTACCATAGTGGATGGTGCAGACACAGAACATTTCTATCATAGCGGAATAACAGAATCTGTTAGACAGCGTTGTATAGCAGGGGATAGCAAGCTTCTTCTGTAAAGGGCCAGACGGTAAATATTTTAGGCTTTGCAGGCCATAAGGGCTCTGCTGCAGCTACTCAACTCTGCCATTTTAGCATGAAAGCAATCAGACAATGGGTGTGGCTGTGTTCCAATAAACTTTATTTACAAAAACAGGCAGTGAGTCAGATTTGGCCCACAGGAAACCCCTGATCTATAGTATCAGAAGTTCTTTCCAAGAAACCAATTGAGCCATAAGAATTAAGAAATCTGGAGTTGCCCCAGTTGTCCACTAACTCACAAACCATAGCACAAGTAAAAAGTCAGCTAGAATATATCAGACTTAACTCTATGCTATTAGAGCAGTGAGGTCCTCCACAGAGCAAGGGTGAGCCAAGAGGGGGAAAGATTACGATCAAGGTCAAATCCCCAAGCTGAATAGAAGACACTGTTAGGAGAGCTGCAATGGGCTCTGATGCTCTGTGCGGGGTGGGGGGGGGGGGGGTTGGGATGGGGGG